TAACAGAGCAGAGAGGGGGAGGACGGGGAGAAGAGCGGTGAACTTAACTTTATCTGACTTATTTTATTTTATTTATTGTTTTTATCATCTGAGAGAAAATTAATTTGAAGGTGAGTTTTTGAAATAAATCATTAGATTCCTCTAAACATCTGTAAACCTGCAAAAATGAGGAAAAATCGGTGTCAGTTACAGACATTCTGTTCACGTGAGCAGCTGTCAGTCAGCACCTGTCATCCTCCAGAGTCAAGACGGAGAGTGTCTGAACCAATCACTTTTGTTGGCATTGATCAGCTGACTGATTTAAATACATCTTAACATTCATGAGGTACTTTACATTGACTGTTTATGGTTGAGTGTGGGCGTGTAGAGGGTAGAACCTGAGGCGGGAACTTGTGGGCAAATTATGAGGCACAGCTGTGATCTATAAAGGAAAAATGCAGTGAAACATGCATAGGCATGGTTTTATAAATCTGAATTTTTTTTTTGGCATATGCCATTTTCGTCTCTTGGCCGTACGTTCATTTTTAGTATGGTTTTCATGCAAWCCTTTATAAATCTGACCCCTGGTGCCTACACCTTGGACAGATCAACTGTCAATCAAAGGGTTACTCAAAGACAAAGAATTACTCTTACACCTATATGAATACACATACTCTCTTTTCTATCCCCCCAAACCCAGTCGGTCGAGGCAGATGTCTGCCTGTCCTGAGCCTGGTTCTGCTGGAAGTTTCTCCCAGTTAAGAGGGAGTTTTTCCTCTCCACTGTCACCAATGTGCTGCTCAGGATGGGAGACTGTGATAAATTGATTCAACGCAATCTGCTGGCTTTTTTTTAAAAAAATTATTCTTTGGTGTGTGTACAGTGCCCTGAGACAACATTTGTTGTGACTTGGTGCTATATAAATACATTGAAGTGAAATTGAATTGAAATTGAAACCTAGGGACAATTACAAGCTGCCAAATTAACGTTTTCGGAGACAAACYCACAAATTCCAGGCAGAATGGTTCCAGCCAAGAGTCAATAACCAGTCATGTTGGTGTTGCAGCCTGTGATAAAACACGTTTTTGCAAAATTTCCCCAAAACGTTTATCCTCTATCAAAAAGYATTTTTGAACTCAAACCAGTCAGTGATCTTTAGTGTTCCTTAGAAGAACAGAAKATCATCCTGGAAGATTTTCATTGAAACAAACAGAGAGGTTCATTTWAGAACATAAGTGGTCARGMTTTTTATTGTTCTGCTCTTGGAGGAGTAAGACGCTTTTCCCCTCTCTCCTACCTTCCCTTATTTTCCCTGCTTTGCTGCTCGGAGCCTTCTGTACGTTTTCATCCAAAACTGAAAACTATGGATTTATTTTTATGGATTTGGTTAGCTAGTCTCTTAATAAATTTTTGGAACAATTATTATTTTTTTTTTTTTGTGGGAGGACATGGAACCTCTGTTCTGCTCTGTTCAACTATCTGGATATTTGGATTCTGACCACTGGATTTCTACAGATTGGCTTGGTGAGCTCCTGGTGTTCTACAAAACAGCGTCAGTGGCTATTCAGGCCATTTCCTGGCTGCCTGACCAAGATGAAGGATTGCCGTGCTATCTGCACTCAGACTTTAGTCCTGTGCGAGCTGGAACTCGGTCTGCAAGCGGTTCTGCTGAGGGTCGTGGGCCGACTGCGGTCCCTGGACTTTGCTGGCGAGATGGAATTGATCTTGGAGAAGCTGAGAGCTCGACTCGGCGGGATTGCCCACACTATTTGTCTGATTGGCGTCGCCACATTGGATGTACCAGCCGACATTAAGGAACATGGAAAATTATTATTGTCTGCCTGACCGAAAATATTTTCTTCTGTTCCCCAACAACTGATTACAGATCCCCCCATGGCCTTGAAGGGCTGTGGATCTAAATTCTCTTGGGAGTTTACGTCGACTTGTGGCTTGGCCCCCAAAGGACAGATAAGTGACAGGACAGGGGCACTTCACGAGGCCAGTCAGATTTCAGCAGAGGCTAATACCGCTGGCCCGATCCCTAAAACCACCCCTGCTTGTCTGCACATTCAGTTTAGTCAGCATGTTTTCCTCAACAAACTTTGTAGAAAGTAACACAGTAGAGGATGCAATAAAACAATGTGCATGGTTTATGTAGCAGTGCTCATGAAAAAATATCATGAGTTGAACATAAGTTCTTGCACTTTTAACTTCAAACCAAGAGTCAGACTGAATTAAAATGTTCAGTGATCCTTTTTTTTACTTTTTATTCAGTAAAACGCACTCCATTTGGTATGCAAAGCAAGGCTGCTTTTCTCCACTTTATACCATGAAAGAGTCTACTAAAGTAAAAATAAATTAAATCTTACAGTCTTATTCTGAGGTCAGATGCTCTGACATCAGTTTCACAGATAATACAGCTGAAAGAAACATGACACATCTGTATCTGTACATCATGAAAATAGTCTGGTTTTTATTTATGTTTTTGAGGGAATTCAGTAGTTTTTCTTATTTCAACCTTCCCGTTGTTATAAGTTGTACTCCGTGCTCCCACCACACAAAGTCAAACTCCATCTTTTTCTGCCATCTTCATATAGAAAATGTGGTTTACGTTCACTGACATTACAGATTCATGAGAGCCACTTGTTTCACAATCAAATCTTTRTCTTCCTGCCAACACTGTATGTGCCAGTGTGTCACAAGAGTAAATAAGATGGAATCAACCTTCAGGTTTCCCAGATGAACACTCATCTCTCTCATCATATGAAGGGCCCTCTTGTCTCTATGGAGAACAAGAGAGTGACCTTTACTCGAAGCATGAAATGCATCCACTTCAGATTGTTTCCAAGCTGTGGCTTTGAATTAMGTCTCCTTTATGCCCCCTTTCCTGTTCCCAATGAGAGGAGATGGGTTGTTTCTTTTCTGTCCATTTCCATTTATCCCAATATTTTTTTTCTTTTCTCCGCACCTGCTCTGCTCTTTTTAATGCAATTATCTTTTTGCTCTTTGTCGATCACTCTGTGTTTTATAGATTTATTTGTATTTTTTAAAGCTACAGAAATACTTTATTTACCAAAAGTCCCTGTTCTTCCCATGCCCGCGGCTACAGTAGCCAAAAATTCTGTTTGAATTCATGTTTTCCATCCATCCATCCATTCATCCATCCATCCATCATTTATACCCGCTTATTCCTTTCAGGATCACGGGGGTCACTGATGCCCATATCCAGCAGCCACAGCGTGAGTGGCAGGGTAAACCCTGGACAGGTCACTGTGGTCACAGGTCCAATATATTTTCCCTCCTCCTAAAAGATATCCAGATAAAATWGTGGAAATAAAATATGTTGAAATACTCATTGTATTCACATTACAAGGTAAAGTTAGAAGAAAGAAAATTCTAAATGAACTTCTGAAAACAACTACAGTTAATTTTCTCTTTGACATTATTTACCGTTGATCTTCAGAGCAGAGCCGCTGCTCCTCCACATCGAGAGGCGCCAACAGAAGTGGTTCAAGCATCTGATAACGATGCTGCCTGGATGCCTCACTGGGGAGATTTCCCGGGCATTTCAGACTGCGAGGAGATCACAGGGAAGACCCAGGTTACACAAGGCCTTGGAAGACCTCAGATCAGCTGAGGTAACTGTAGAAAGAGGTCTGAAACTCGATGCTCAAGCTGCTGCCTCCACGACCGACCTGACAATATTGCGACRTGAAAATACAGTATCTGGAAAACTACCGGAGAAAACTAACTGCAATATTTCATATAAATTATGMTAACCTTTGTTATAGTTGATTTCATGGGTTGCAATGAATACCTGTAACAATGCCAAGAAAAAGATTATTAAAAAAATCATTTTACAACTAACTGCATACAGAGAATTGAGAAATGAAACATCTTACTGACCAGAAAAGATCTTTTTTTTATTTACTCATACAAAGCTTTTTCAAATAAAAACACATTTTTAGAAACTAGAAGCTATTATTGACAAAACAACAGATTTTGCAAACTAGCTATCACAAACAACTGCCCTGATCATTTAGATTGTAGTGGAAATATATTGAATTTTCACGACTTAGTACAACATCAAATCAACAACACAAGTAGACAAGCAACTCCCACARTCTGGAAAATGTGTTGTTGTTGAAGGCTTGAAAAAGGAAAAGTTGTTTTAACTACAATCATGTTTTATTTTGTTTTGGATCAAAGGTGTGAAGGTTTTGCTGCAGTGCCCAGAGTAAAGAAATAAAACATAATATTTTAATATCAAAGCATCTGCCTGATTTTTAGCCCTGTTTATATTCTGAGCATGTGAAAGAGTACATTATAATCGCTATAAGTTTTTCTCCTGTGAGCCCTTCTTCCTGTGAAACACAGTTTTCAATTCCTATCCATTATTTCTGGCTGGTTGTGCCACTCTGATTTCTATCTACCCTCTTTTTGCTTTCTGTCTGGTAGAACAAGGAAAAAGCTCAATGGTATTGACAGGGTTCACCGTCTGGGGTCAGAAATTTCTGCTTAAAGATAACTGTAGTKGAAATGTAATGCAGCCAGAAAGGTGAGGGAGGTGAAAGAGTGTGTCAGCATAAGAGCAAAGTATATGAAGAAAAAAATATAGTTTTACATGAATATTCTTGGCAGAACGTTTAAGCAAAAGAAGTTCACGAACAGCTTATCGTGCTGTGTAAGAGCAATCCAAATTTTCTTCTTCTTCCCTTCCCCCACCACATCATAAATAACACTTTCTTCTATTAAGGATTATCAGTTCATCAGCTGCAAAATGCCACTTCTTGTGATTAAGTGTCTTATGGATGATTGCATAAAGTGGGATTTTAAACTGCACTTTCTCAACGGCTCTTAGTCTTAAAAGATGAAGTCCAGTGAAAGAAATCTAGGCAATTCTCTAAATTACTGACTGAATTTAACTCGAGGAGCAAAAAGGGGTTAAGTGGTGTATTTTGTCGCATAATGTTCAGGTTTGAAAGGATTAGGTTTGACAACTTTGTTTTTTTGCCATCATTATACAACTGGAATTTTACCACAGCTACATTCAGATGCCTGCCCAGGTGAAAAAAAAAGTATACTTAAGTTGTACTTTATCTTGATGTATTTATTATATTTTAATTGTATTGTACTAAGTGTATATTAAGTGTGTTATTTTGGAACAACTTACAGTATATTAATTAGTCTTTTAACATTACTTAAACTCAACTTTAAGGTATTTGCAATATATTTTAGCATACTTAATTGTGCATTTAATTTAGCTTAAATATACATACAGTATTTAAAATACACCTAAAATATACTTTGTGCTATACTTGAAGAACACTTTAAATATGTTTTAAGCTTTACATGAACGTATTTTCAACATATTTTAATTAGACTGTGAAATCATTATAAATGTACAGTTAATATACTCCAAGAGCAACTATTAATCAACTCTCAAGCTTTATAAAGC